TCCCACAAAGGCCTCCCGAGGCGGCGCTCCGCCGCCTCGGGAGGCCTTTGTGGGAGCCGCGCCCGCATCCCCGCGGCGGCCCCCTCCCTCCCTGTCCCCGCATGTTCCCCAGTCGAGGGCACCAAGATGGAGGCCCCAACACCGTCTGGCCCTTCCGGGCCCCAAAGCGGCCGGGCTAGCCGGTGACGAGGGCCAGGGCCTTCCCTGTGGCGGCCCCCCGCACTGGTGGAAGGCGCTCTCCCGGAGGACCTCAGGGCCCTGCGGGGCCTCCTGCAGTTCCACAGGGCCTGCAAGACGGAGCTCTTCCGCCGGGCTTTCGATTCAGGGGCCCCGGCCCTCACACCAGCGCCAGAGTAATCCCTGATAGCCTGGCAAGGAACCTGGAATAGGGCGGTCCTGATGACTGGGGGCCGGAAGAAGGCCCCGCCATTGTTTACTGTACTGCGAGCACTTTGCGCTTTGTTGTGTCCTTAACTGTTTTACCTGTTTTAATATTTGTACAGTGTATTTTTATATATGGCTGTAAGCCGCCCTGAACCTGCCTTCATGGGGGGGGGGGGGGGGGGGGACTAAAAATAAAATAAATATTCTACTTGCCCTTTTCTGCACTTTTTCCAATGCTATAATATCCTTTCTGAGGTGTGGTGACCAGAACTGTACACAGTACTCCAAATGAGGTTGCACCATTGATTTATACAGGGGCATTATGATACTGGCTGATTTGTTTTCAATACGCTTCCTAATAATCGTTTTTTTATTGCAGTCACACACTGTCTCGACATTTTCAGTTAGTTATCTACTACGACTCCAAGATCTCTCTCTTGGTCAGTCTCTGCCAGTTCAGACCCCATCAACGTGTATTTATAGTTAGCATTTTTGACTCCAATGTGCATCACCTTACACTTGGCCACATTGAACCCCATTTGCCATGTTGACACCCACTTGCCCATCCTTGACAGATCCCTTTGGAATGCCTTCCAATACTCCCCGGTTCTCACTCCCCTGAACAACTTCGTGTCATCTGCAAATTTAGCCACTTCACTGCTCACTCCCAACTCCAAATCATTAATAAACAAGTTAAAAAGCATCGGACCGAGTACTGATCTCTGTGGCTTACCACCCTCCACTGGGTGACTTTGGAGCAGTCACCTACACCGCAGAGGAGTTGTGAGGACAGAATGGAGGCGAGGACAGCTGGTTTTGACACACCAGGCTCCTTGGAGGAATGGTAGAATAGAAATAGGATTGCAAAACAGCTATAGTTAAGTTTACTTTCAGATTTTTTTTTTGATTTTTTTTGATTTTTTTTATTTTGTCATATAACAAATATAATGCAAATCCAATATGTTAAAAAACACACTGATCCTTTACACATTGAAGTATCATCGAGAGTCCGAACAGTTCATACCAACTTTTGAAACAGATTAACAGAATTAAATTAACATGAAACTTTTCGAGGTATCAGAAAGTCCACTGATTACAGAGATTTATGAACCTAAGTATAAATACTAACCATGCATGAAAGAAGCATAAACGAGGAAACAGTTAATAAAGCAATCCAATATTGTTTATCATATCGCAAGAACAATTACACCCATCTCTGCATTTGTTGCCAGGAAGAAGGCAGAATATCTTCTGATGCTAGGAATTTATTTATTTATTTATTCTAAAATAGGGTTCCATTTTTCCATTATGGGTTTAACCACAGGTTTCAAGGCCGATCTATTTACTTTTCTGGTGACAGAATCCATGAGGAATTGATCCCATAGTTTTTGGTACCACAATGTCAGAGTTGGAGGTTTCGGGTCTTTCCAACATGTAGCAATCGCTGTACGGGCTGCATAAATCATAACATCCAAGGTTTGTTTGTAATGATGTGTTTCAATGTGAAGCGGCCAGTGTTTTAGGAAAAGACTTTCAGGTTTTATTGAGATTACTAACCCTGTAACTTTGTGAACCATTAGTTTTATTTCCTCCCAAAATTTCGCTATCTTCTCACATTCCCACCAGGAGTGGGCAAATGTGCCTAATCCATCACACTGTTTCCAGCATTTTGGAGAAATTGTTGGGTGAATGTGGGATAAA